TCAATATTCTGTTCAAAGAATTCCAATGATGACTTCTGCATATTATTAAATGTCGATGACAATTCTAAAACAGTAAGCTGTACACATTTGTCATAATTAATATGTTCAGGATCGAATGGATACAAACCGCAACATTTGAAACCAGCTACGATTGCATTAGAAAAATCATTTTTTAAAATAATCGATAAAGCAGCTGGTACATCAAATTTCTTTATGTCCATACCATTATGACTAAGTCGCCAATTTTTTACAAATTTTACCCACTGTCTCTTCAACGGAGCAAACACTGACACATCGAGTGGTTGTAAAATATGTGTCGCATTTGGTGGTAGACAGCATAATATTATTTCATGCTGTTTACAAAACATACTTAAGTGGTATGACATGTGTGATACGTGTCCGTCTAAAAAAACAATCACCGGTCTTTTAATGTTTTCTTTTATAAGATATCCATTAAAAATATTTGTAAAATATTCATAAAAGGCTGCAGCAGTCATCCAGCCACTTTCAGTTTTCCCAATTCCCCAATTAGCCGGTGCTTTATCGATACAGTTCTGTGATAATCTTTCATATTTAAAAACTGTCAAGGGTGGTGCAATGTCTCCGGCTGCGTTGACAATCAAAAGTGTCGTAATATTTTCTTTATCACTGCTTCCTGAAACATCATATGCACTTTTACCCTTTTCTGCAATTACAAGTAAACCACCATTTGGTGCCAAACACATTGACGTTTCATCCATATTATATATTCGGCTTGGATCTTCTAATACTGATAAATCATCTGCCATTAGCAGCTTTACTTCTTGAAACCAATTACGTATAAATTCTTCTGATATGTTTGCTCGGGTTTTACTCAAATATTCAGCTTTCTTTACAGACAGCTGAGGGTGCCGCTTCAAAAAACTATCGAACCATTTTCGACCAGGACAGTTATTTTTAAATGGAGTTTGTAAATTTTCAGTTTCAATATACCTTTTCACTATGCTTACTAAAATATCTCTTGTAAGGGGAAATCCCATTTTGCACATTTGTAATAGCCAATCGACCAATATAGTTTCTACTGACGGACCTAAAATTGGCTTTGGACCGACTCGCCCAGAAGTTAATGGAGCCTCTCCTTGAACCTTGTGCCTTAATGTCGATCTGGGTACGTTATACAATTTGCTGATGTGAGAAATTTTTGTTCCGTTTTGTATGGCAATCAAAGCAGAGTGCACTTTCCCGGGTGAATATGAAAACAGCTTCCTTTTTGTCACATTTTCTTTACTTGATTGCATTTTTTTATTTTTACGTTTTTGCTTTGCCATTCCTGAAACAATCAAGTAGTGGCCAAAACTAGAACAGCGTTTGTTCCAGTTGTGGACAGTCTACGGCCATAAATGGAAATTTCAATAAAAGTAGTACCTATTGTGGCCAATTGTTATTTAATAAAATGCACGAGTTTTCGCTCGCTTTGAGCGTATCGAAAACATTACTTGAAATATAACCTAATCTATAAACAAATTATTTACTTGATTAACTTGATTTTGGTTAATAAATATGACTGTACTTACTGCGTTTTCTTAACACAAAGCGTTAAGAATCTAAAGGTGCTTTTTCATGCGCAGCACGCTGCAGCAGCAATTCGTTACTATTGGTTAAGAATTTTAAGTAAGCTAGATGACGCACTTCCGGCGCAAAATACATTTTGCCGCAGTTCGTTGAAGTTGAACCGAACGAACAGCAAGCAGCAAGCGGCAAAATCGAGGCAATATTATTTATTGCAATAAATATTAGGAAAATTAACGAAGAATGGCTTCGGATAAGGTACGAATGTTTGTAAATTAGATTATTTTATACTTTACACTTTACTCTTTCAAATTTGTGGTAAAGTATAAAATGATCTAATTTACAAACATGTATCCGTACCTTATCCGAAGCCATTTTTCGTTTATTTTCCTAATATTTATTGCAATAAATAATATTATCACGAGCACCCCAAGACAAATGTTTTATTTATATCATTACAATGCGTAATTTCGCTGCGAGATTGAGTGTCCTGATGAAATGAATGCAGATCGAAGTTTTGGCGCCGAGACGGTGCGCAGAACCTAACCTGGCCTTAGAAAATGTAGGAAATGCGCGCGAGTGGCCACAACCGGTGCACTGGCCAAAACCGGTGCATCTACCCTACTTATTAAAGAAAGTTATATTTTTCGAAATAAAAGAATATATGACTAAAAAGATACGAAAAAACGCGATTTTTTAGGTTTTTTTTTTGAGTTTTGACTTGAAAATGACCTTGGCGACAATTTTTTTATCATATTCGTAATAAGCACATCAAAATACATAAATATATGAAATTACAGCTAAGAGCATTATTCGCAAATACAACCGTTTATTAAAAAATTTAATATTTCAACTCCCATTTTCAGCCCTTAAAACATCATGTCTGCCAAAATAAAAAAATACGTATCAAATATTTTTCGATTCTTGATAAAATCTGCATAGGTAGAAGTCAATCCCGGAGTGGCACTTGGGTAGTGTTACTTGTGAGCTGTGTGTACAAAGCTTTACTCCGACGTTTCTGTGTATACATTTATGTTGAGCAATTGGAAAACACCCCTTTTTGCAAAACTTCTGCTATATATTTTAATTATAGCGTTATCATTTTCTTTCTATCTAAATATTTGATTTACAGCTAAAAATATAGATTAAGTAAAAATAAAGCTGTATTATAATAGAGAGATTATGTGTATTTTTTAATTTTTTTTTTAATTTCTAACTTACATTGTGATTCAGATAGTCCTGTACAATCCTCTCTTTTTCTATATATATAATCTTCTAGTTTTCTACAAAGTATTGGGTGGATCGATATATTCGTTCGGTTTTTGAAGGCTAAAATGAAACATTTTTTTTCATATAAAGGATGAATTTTAATCAATGATATTCTCCGTTTTTATTGATGACCTCTTGCCATCTTTCCAACAATTTCATTGAAAGGAAAGGACTACGAAAAAGTCAAGAAACTTTTTTACAATCAGGGAATGTCAAAGAATTTTCTCCGTCAAAATCCGTAGACACCCTGTTTTTCTTGGAAAATGTATTATTGAATAGAACAAGTTCTTTACAAGTTTCCTTATATGTAAACCTTTTTTCCTCAAATGCATAAGAAAAGAAAGATAATTCAGAGGGAATATAATGTTATTTATAGAGATATTTATAGAGATTTTCTTCATATTTATTTTACTTTATGAACTTCGTACTCGCGCCGGATGAATTGCCCAATCTCTGATTGGTTGAGATTTCGGGTCTCCGCCATTATGCGCAATGGTTCACCTTGTATACTTCCACCATAATATGTATACAGTACTATTATTTCAGGAATTATTTTTCACTTCTATCTTATCTACCTATGTGATACAACGGACATATGTATGTATATCTCAGTTTGCTGCATATTTTACAGGTTTTAGAAATTGTGTTAAAAAAAATTAAAAAATAAAACTATACATAGTGTCAGTGTTATACATACTATATATGTATACATATATACATACATTATTGCTTTTATTAATGTTTAAACAAAAAATACTGCAAAAGTACATTTTCAGACTGATTTTTAAAAAGTAACGGAAAAGTTACCTTTCGAATAATAATAACTGCAATGAGTTACTTTTAAAAAGGGATAACTAGTAACGCGGTAACTCATTACTTTTTTTACTCGGTAACGAGTAATTGTAATTTGTTACTTTTAAAAAGTAATTTTCCATTCCCTGTGTAATATTTATATATTTTATACATATTTTGAACGCGTAAAGTGTCAAAATTTAAAAACACAGTTTAAGGGGTTATATACATTTAGAGGGCTGGAAAAAGCGATTTCTTTAGGATTTTTTTTAAACAAAATGAAACTATATACATATGTTTAAGTTTGTACATCCAATAAAGTTATATTTAAAGTATATTTCAAAATTTTTTTGTACAAAAATATTTAATAATTTAGAATCTGCGCCGGTCTACAGAGACGTATTAAAAAAAAAATGGTTTTGCGGTGAGCAACATATCTCGGCAGGAACTCATCTAAAATCAAAAATCCAAAAAAATTTCATTAGTATATTGTATAAGCTAGTAATTAATCGTTCGGTTTTTGAAAATATTGATTAGAAACAAAATGGC